CTATCAATTCAGCTACACAGACTAATGAGCAGTGATAACTAACATGTCTTTGGGGTCATCAGGTGGGAACCTCCTTTCACCAGTGTTTCGTCTAGTTGGTCCCACGACACCTCCAGGAGGCTAGACAGTGATCACTGGCGTCCCAGAGTCACTCCCCTAATGCCAGCCATCACTGCTCCTCACACCACGACTATTTTCTCCTTTATCTTGCCTATGCTACCACAAACAACATCATCAACTCGGACAAAACACACTAGCAGATTCAGCAAACAAACTCCCCTAACCAGTTGGAGAAAGTGGCGGCCATTTTGAATGAGGGAGGTAGAGTCAAGGAGAGATGCCTTTTTAAGCTAAACTCTCCCACGCCGGATTAGGCTGTGCTCTACCTCCCCCTACTCCCCCACTCTCCAACAACTCACCTAAACAGTCACAGACACACTACAAACCAATTCAAACAATGCAACCAAACAATACAGGCCACCTCACCTGAACTAACCGCATGGTCTCAAAGAGGCTCACACAGGCCACACCCCCCACTTAAAAACACTTCCTCTTCCTGGATTTTCTTCCTTGCTTCTCCTAAGAGTCTGTCTATCCTAAGTGCTCCCCCTGCTGGGCCCCCAGCTACTATTATTTCTTCTCATCCAAATCCACTGACTGGATCTTACTGTCTCATCTGACATGTCCTTTACTATTTTCCTCACACTCTGTCCACTTCCTCCTAACTCCCTCACCAAAGAGACAACAGACCTTGCTACAAATCCTCTACATCCTACTTCCACTGGACAAATCCTAACTTTCCATCCTCGCTGCTCTGCTTCTGCCCCTAACTCTACATACCTGAGCTTTTTCCTTTCATATGCTTCTTCAACTGAAGCCTCCCACGGAACAGTCAGCTCTATGAAATATACTCTCATTCTACTCCTAGACCACAAGACTGTGTCAGGCCTTAGCTTTGTACTGGCTATTTCCTGGGGAACAACAAGCTTTCCTCCTAAATCTACCTGCATTTCCCAATCACAAGCATCCTCTAAGCTGCCTTGCCTCCTTGTTGTCTTACCAACTTTCTCTCCCTCTTGAACAAACTTAATTGCAACTCTCTTTATTTTAGGCCCTCCTAAATTTGCCTGCCTCCGTAGGTCTTCAATTCCTAAATTCTGATATGTGATGCAGTTGCGCCCATAAAATGCCCAACAAAATGACTTTCTGTGAGGGAGAGTACTGTTGGCAATTAGTCATAATTGTGCAATATTACTTTCAGCATAATTTTGGCCAATACAAAAACCAGGGGTGAAATGCAAAAATCTGTCACAGACTTTCTCGATGAAGATATTCACACATGCAAATATCTTAAATGCAGATGTGTTGGAAGGTGTGAATATCCCACACACTGCTCTTACTGCAGCAGATTAAAATTAGATGTAAAGAGATTTTATTAGAATATTATTACTGTGGATAGTATAATACTAATATATAATTGAGCTACTCCTCAAAGCAGCTAGGAAAGAACATGTTGTGTCTATTCTTAGAGTAGCACTTCTTACCACACTGTCACACTGAAACACTGTTGCTGTACTTTTGTCTCTGGCCTGATGCAGAGATACATACTGTACACATGTGTGAAGATGGCTATGAAATCATCCTTTGTTAAATAAGGGGATGTTAGCAGCTGCAGCCGTGGCAGTGTGTTGCCCCCTCTCCTCAGAATATGTGTTTACAGTGCATAAACATGTGCATCCTTTATCTCATTCTTCTTCTTCTTTGGCTACACACACACACACACACACACACACACACACACACACACACACACACACACACACACACACACACACACGCACGCACGCACACACACATAAATATACCAAAACAGAGGCAGATTGAGTAGCTCTTACACACCTCTACATCTCTGATATGGAATGTATCTGCGCACATGCACACACACACACACACATCCTGGGTAAAGGACATATGCTGATATGAAACTGCCTCAGGTTTATGAAGCACAGTGACATCTCATTTGCATTCATTCAGGTGTGTTTGTGTACTTCACCCTATTCAGTGACTCACTGGAGCGGCCTTTTTACCACAGGCCAAGGCTGCTTTTGTTTCACAGTGAGGAGGAAAGATCTTAGTAACGGCCTGCTCTCCTCATCAACAAACTGATGGTGAAAAACAGTGGTAGCACTTATTCCAGAGAACAAAAGGATGCTTCGCGCTCACAAAAATACATTGAAATGCGTTTTTTTAATGATCGTCAGCAGTCTGGCAGAGAGACATTGTTCCGGCGCCTGGCTTCCATCAGCATTTATACTAGTTTTTCTGGTCCGAGAATGCTTCTTTTGTTCTTGCCGTCTACCTGTCTAACCTTCTTTATGGAGCTCTAAGACAAACAGAAAGATGTTTCTCCGTTCAGCATTTATGCTGTCATATGATTTTTTTTCAAAGAGAGACAAACTTTCTCCATGTCTTTGTTTGAGTTTATGTGGTGTTTCCATTTTCTATCACTGGTTGTTTCCACCTTACCAGCATCAGACTGTACGTGCTCTACCAATCACTCATCCCATATGACTGGCTGGATTAATTGGGTTCTTGATCAATACCATTTATTGTCTATTTAATGAATCAGGTGGTGATGTCCTGCTGTCATGTTTAGTCAGGTTTATTTGTGCAGCTCTTAATCCCAGTAACAGTCTGAAAGGGTCTCACTGGGCCACATTAGACAAGAAACACCCCCTGCCCCAACCCATCCCACCCCACCCCACCCCACCCCAAAAAAAATCCCCAAAGGTGAAAAATCAAGGGACCTTGAGAGGGATTACATGAGACAAAATCTCTTTCCAGAGTTAAAAGGCAGCAGGGAGCAAATGATAAGTTGGTGGATCATTGACAAAATTAGATGATGTAAAACAGCAAAAATACGAAACTGCAAAAGTAAGAACAGAAGACTCACACTACACCACAAGTACAAGTATTTTTCTTCTTCTTTGTCACATGATCGAGACTTACACACATAATGTAATATTCCTGTTACATTGTGCCCATCTAACAGGAATGAAAGAGCATCTTAATATACCCCAGAGCAGATCAAATGTAAACTCTTACATCAGCAAATAAGGGAAACATTGAAGCCATCTAGTGATGGTGAATTAAGACTGTTACTGTGGTTGACAGTCGTGCATTCTGCCAGGATAATTACCTACCTTCCCTGATACTCTGATATTTTCCTCTGACTTTTGGGGTGACGTCTGTCCATCTTTGGTTTTAGATGGAATCATGAGACTTGTTGGAAGACTTTTACTGCACTTAGTGAAACAAATCGTCGACCTGTCTCTCCTCTGCTGTGTCTGTGTGTGTGGGGAGGGGTAAGACACACACGGGTTAAAAAGGCTATGAAATGATGCTTTGTTAAATAAGATAGTGGATGTTGGCAGCTGCAGCCATGCTCAGGAGAAACTGGGGTTAAGTAGCTTTTTAAAAGGTATTCACAGGATATTAGTATCTGATATGGCTCAGTGGATTTTCCATTTAGATAGTGCTGCCTCCCTCACCCCTATACATGAAGTGTAGAGGTCGACTAACAGAATCTAATTTTTCAAAAGACACTAACAGCTTGCCACTCAAATCAGCAGCCACTAAATATGGATATGAAAACAAAGCAAGTGAGATGCTTATGCAGCAGCTTCGTCAGCCATTAGTGTGATGACAGACAGCTCAATTCAAACGCCATCACACATGACATCTGATCCATTAAGACACGAAACAACAAAGAATTTTATGCTTCACCATACACTTGATCCACGTTCCTACACTCTACGCAGTATGTTATAACACATTTGATGTAGCTCTGATTGATAGAGAGATACTCAGACCACAAATATGTTCTGCTCTGGGTGGGGGTCTGGCTCAGAATGAGACCCAAACAAAGAAATGTATCAGTAAGCTTCTCCCTTAAATGACTGACATGTTTGAAGAATCATGTGACTCTCTCTTACTGATCCAAACTGTCAAACAGAATGTGACACCCTTTGTTATAAAAGAGGACCCCCTGCAGTGTGCTCATCTGTTTTGACTGTGACCCCTCGTGTCTTGTGTCTAAATGCAGTCCTGCTCATATGAGAAAAAATACCTGGATACTGTAACATAACAGTAGATTCCCCAGTGGTCTCATTTTTCTGCAGCCGAAATCCTTTACTACCAAAATTAATATGAAAGTGAGAAATCAAGGTAAATATTCTACATCTAGGATCTTGTCACTATAAATACATTGATAAGTCTGAGCCTGAGGAAATTTTTATTTTTAAAGAATACACTCGTGAAATGTGTGATAAAAAAACTGTCAAAAGGATTGTGATTGGATGAATTGTTATATTTATATGAAATACAGTGTTGTTGTAACGCTAAGGCTCCAATTTAACAGTCTAAAGCATGTGGTGCAAATGCATTTAGGGCGCATCCCTGTCTCTTTTGATATTGGCTGCTCCTTGCTCATGGTTCATAAGGGTTGCACTTTGTCTCTTAATTATTCATGGAAGTGTTTTGGGCATAGCATCCAATAAACCAATCAAAGTGCCATCTCCCATTCCCTTTAAAAGCCAGGTGCGCTGCACCTTCATGTATTGCTATTACAATGGCACAGTGTTTCACACAGAGTTAGATTATATTAGTGGTCAGTTGAGCACATATTGTGACTGACCAGTGAGTCCAGTTCTCACCAGTGAGTCCAGTCCGGACCAGTGAGGACAGCCCTGACACAGGCAGCAGCTCTGGCACAAATCACAACATTAGAAATATTTTATGTTTATTAGATAGATAGATAAATGACAACTGTGTCAGTCTGAAACTACAAAGACGCTTTGACCTGGCTGTAAGATAGAGCCCATAACATCAATAGGTAAAAGAACAAAATTAAAAGAACAAGGCCACCTCAATTACAGCTCATCTATGGATATACAGAATATAGCAGATATCATGTAGCTGACTGTCAGTGTTGTTTTCAGGTATTTACCAGTTCAGAGTTCCTGAGTCGTCCAAGTCTGGCACTCCAGTCGGGAGAATTCAAGCCACTGACAGAGACATTGGGAAGAACTCTGAGATGTACTTCACCATCGTCAGTGGAGATGGTATGGACATGTTTGAGATCTCCACAGACAAAGACACCCAGGAGGGAGTCATCACCGTGAGCAAGGTGAGAGGGAGCAGGGCTGAGCTGTGGTCTCAGAGCACTGATCACATATGTAGCACTAATCTGAAAACCAGATTTATAAACGACTTTTAATGGAAGACACAAAACAAGAACAAAGAGAATACAATACAAAAGCAGGTAAAACAAACAGCAGAGTACATTTCAGTAGCTGTACACTGACTATCACAGGATGAAAGGCAGAAGTCTGCATCTGTTGTTAATAATGTGAAATCCATTGCTTTCCTAATGCTCACGTTCAAATGAAGCTGGCTTTTAATTATCTTGATATTTTTCTCACGGCATTGGTTAAATCAAATTAATTCTAAAGCAGTGATTCAGCAGATCCCACACTTTCCACTCATAAGGATCCTGCCCACGTAGTCTGTTTTACACGTACTGTTAAATATGCAAAGCCTGGGCATGCTTGACAGATGAAAGAAACCAAATTAAACTTATTCATCTTCACTTTCACAACCCTCAGCAGGCACTAATGCACTGGACTGGAGCTTTTTATGCAGCTGAATTTTTTGATTCAGTGTTCTCAAAGTGTGTGTTTACTGATGTACAATCACAATTGATATTTAGACATCCTTTTGTTCCTCCTGCTGACACAACCTAAGAAAGTCTGCAAGGCTTCAACAAAGAAGTAATGATATTCTGTCAGCAGGATACGAGATGAGGACAATATCCAGGATTTCTTCAAGTGAGGCAAAGGCAGTTCAAGTAAATCTGAAGCTTTGTTCTTGTTTGAAACAACAACCGTGCAGCACTGTCACGGCTGATGTCAAGGAACAGATTTCATCAACATTATTTGCACTTTTGAAAAACTATAATCATTTGTCTTCAGATCGAATCTGTCAGCTGCTTTATATCACAGTTTTATTAATGTTAGATTTTCCACTCTAACAGCTTGGCTGTTCAGTCAGCATCTCTGAAACAAGAACAGACATGTTATAAATCCTGTCTGATGCTCAACCTCAGCTATCAGATTAAATAATATATTGAATCATATAATTCCCATACAAGTAAATGTGGTGTTCAACTTGGTATCTATTACTATGACTATGTATGGTATAAAAACTCCTTTATAAGAAATATAAATAGCAATTCCGCCTGGGTTTCAGTCTAGTCTGGTTCAATATTTGACATGTTTTGTCATAATATCACACAAAATGAAAACTTCTACTGTACATAACATAAACCAGGTCCAGGATGAGAAGTCATTAAGTGAAAATGGCATGAGAATTTACATTTCCTAGCTAAATCACAATATGGGTCATGGATATTTAAAGGAGCTATTTGTAAGTTTAGCTATTGCTACATAGCTAACGTTAGCATTAGCAGCTATTTACTTACCAGTCTAGATGAAATGTTGTGAGTTCAGCATCAAACTTCATTCCTTTACTCACCAACAGCTGTCTCCAGAGGTGGAAACAAACACCAGTGTTAACTCTCTCTTTTCTCTATCACATCTTTTCTTCTACTGAAGTTAGCATGCTAACCAGCTAGCCCCAGCTCATCTCATCATTTTCCCATAGTGACTCACTGTAGCCTCCAGTCTGTCCTGAAGAAGTAGCGCTGCTCAGAGGACATATTATAACTTCTTGTCTTGTAAACACAACGTTGGCCGAAGCTCTTTTTCAAGTGAGAATTACCACCACCCTCTCCCGGCAAGAAACCACATTTGGCAGCAGAGAAAACCTTCAAAGAGCTCCTTTAATGCTGGCAGTAATGGCACCTTGTTCCAATAGAAACAGTCCCTCTAAATCCCTCCTGTGTTTCCCATGTTTTCCCCTTTACCTCTGCAGCCTTTGGATTATGAGAAGAAGCCGTCGTACACGGTAGAGATCCAGGTCCAGAACACCCAGGTGGACCCTCGCTTCATGTCCGCTGGCTCCAAAGACATGGCCACAATCCGGATTGGTGTGGAGGATGTAGATGAGCCACCGCTGTTCGACAAGGCCAGCTATCTGATGGAGGTGAAGGAAGACGCTGAGGTGGGCGTGGCTGTGGGCTCTGTCAGCGCCATGGACCCTGATGGTGTCCGCAGCATGGTCAAGTAAGGCTGAACCTCCATCTAATTTGTTTCATTTTTTAATTAATCTTTAAAAAGGTTTAAAAACTGAAAATGCAGGAAAGTTAATGACAGAAAAAACAGGAATATTTTTAAGTAGCATCAGTGACTTTCAGACTTCTCAATGTTCTTTTAGGAAACACTTTTGGATTTAAAAGACAGCTGCAGTCTCACTGGAAATTTGTTAATTTCCTAAATTCCCTTGACTGTAGATTAGATTTACAAAGTTGTAGCAAACTAAAATACAGCTTAATTTACCTTTTATGGACTACACTATATTTTGTGCTTTGGTTTGCCTTAACGGGTACTACCTTATAAACACAGTCCCTCTTATTATTTGAATTACCACCATAATTTTCTTCAAGTACAAGCAACATTATAAATGTCATTGCCAGAGCCTCCTGACAGCAGAGCAGCCAGATGGCACCCATTGCATGTTTAATTTTGTTTCTACTGTAGAAGAAAATCAGGGGTCAGTAGGTCACAGCTGTGCTATTGACTTGACCTAATGTCTACCACACACTGGAAGACTGTGGAAGACTGACACCTTCTCACATCTAAAGACAATGTGTCATGAGTCAGTTTTTAGTCACACTATAAGATTCCAGAATTTTTTTTTGCTCTTTAAAATTCGACATCATTATTATTATTATTATTATTATTACATAGTTAGTAACTCAACACTATCAAAGTCATGATCTTACCTTTATGATATCGTATTTTATTTTGAAATTATTTTCCTTGCCTCCCTCATGTATTTAATATTGGCTTCACACCAAACCACTCACATTCTCCCTCCCTGGAGTCGCCTCCCTGCTCACTATCAGCTGGTTTGCTGCTTCCTGTTTGTTGCTGGAGAAGTCATTGAACGTCACAGTCATGAGCCAAGCTTAAAAACCTATGACAGTATTAAACATGTTTGATTTTATTGGAATGTCAAGATGAAATAAAGACTAACTGAAGAAGCTCAACACAACAACACCAAACCATTGAGATGACAGGAGCACGCCACAACTCCAGCGGAACTCGTTTGAAAAGTCGTTTGTTGTAAGGCCGACATAACTGGACCCACAATAAACCTAAAGTCTAGAAACTGAACAGGTGAACCCATGTGCAGAGACAAACTACCAGACCAGGAGTTTCAGATCACAGGCAGAGTGAGCTTGTAACCGGGAACCTGGTGCTGAGGGAGCTGGCCCAGCAGTGGGAGGTCCAGAGGGGAGCCAGGAGGACCTGGAACAGCAGGCTTAGTCATGCGTGGTGGGAGTCAGAGGCAGAGGGAACAGCAGAGGAGAAAGAGAGCAGGATTCATTGAGAGAAACAGTAACTAAACCTGCTACAAGAACTGACGGGAACGTGGCTTCACCAACTGCACTGGAGAGAGGGTTAGGCAGAGGCAGAAGAGGAGGTGGAGGGTGTGGCAGTGTCCTACTCACATCAGGATTTAGATAAATCTGGACAGATAAGGTGACTCCATGGTGTGTTAGTTAGTCAGGATGAGACTGAAATCCAACTGAAAATAAATTGCAAGTTCATTTTCTACATGGTGGCACGGTGGGGCAGTGGTTAGCGCTGTCGCCTCACAGCAAGAAGGTTCCGGGTTCGAGTCCCGGCTCGGACGCGGGGTCTTTCTGTGTGGAGTTTGCATGTTCTCCCCGTGCTTGTGTGGGTTCTCTCCGGGTCCTCCCGCTTCCTGCCACAGTCCAAAGACATGCAAATGGGGACTAGGCTGATTGGTTACTCCAAAATGACCATAGGTATGAACATGAGAGTGAATGGTTGTTTGTCTCTGTGTGCCCTGCGATGGACTGGCGACCTGTCCAGGGTGTACCCCGCCTTTCGCCCGAAAGGATGCTGGGATAGGCTCCAGCCCCCCCGCGACCCTACTAGAGGATAAGCGGTAGAAAATGGATGGATTTTCTACATATCTGCTTTGTAAATCAGGTCTTGTGCTACATATATGTCTCCAGATGGAGAACTGTTTTAGCCTGTAGCCAATCAAATCTTTTCATTTTAAACTGTATTTGATTAAAGCTGTAACATCACTGTTCTATCGTAGATGGTCACACTTACTAACAGCAGCCTGAAACTCGGCACAAGAGCAGAATAGCTTCTTAATGGATGAATCCATTGTATCTCCATCTTGTCCTGGGCCTTAGCTTGTTCCAAAGAAACATCCACCAGGTGAAGCTGCACCACTAATTAGCTATAACGCACCGAAGAGCTTAAAAACTTACCAGCAAATGTCAGTTTAGATGCTAAATGCTAATTTTTCTTCAGTGATGCTAATTGAGTTTGCATATGTCTGGAAAGCTCCAAAGTGTTGTGGCTGTGTTGGGGCTCAGGCTGCTGCTCCGCTGTCAGTCAAACTCACAACCCTCTCACAAGCTTCAGAGAAAAGGAGCATTTCTGATATTTCCCCAGACCTTTTGTTTCTTCATTTCAGTAACAAAAAACAATTAACAAAACATCTGAAAATCACTGTTCGACTAAGTGTGATTGCAGTTGGACTTTGAAGCGATCACTCTTCACATCAGTGAAAACAGGGAGCCGTTTCTGCAGCGCAGGACTGTCATATTTGAAAGTTTGCATTTCTGTACTTCCTGCTCTGCAATTTTATGAATCTCAGCAAAACTGCATTGAAGTGGGATGAAGATTGACTTCAAATGGACCTCGATTCTCTAAAGGCTTGTGAGGAGTTCTGATAAGAGTCTGAAAAGAGGGGAAAAAGAGGAGAAATATGAAGTAGGTTAAAAGATAGGTGGTGTGTTAACGATCAGTGTTAAGATTATAAACCCATCAGTCTGTGGACTATACAGCTGTGTGTGAAAACTGCTGAGTGCATACACAACAGAAACCTGGACCTACAGGCTATATTTAAACTGCAGTACCGTTCATTATTGATGCTTGGTTTGAGCTCTGTTGCTCTCCTGTTAGTAATTGTCCATTACTCAAACGGCATCACTACATCCTGGGAATTTTCTGATGTTTACAAAATAAAATGCCTTAAGCCTTCAGTAATTTGCTCTGTTGCAGTGGGTATTGATCACGAGTTACAAGCCTATGAAGATAAGGTGAAACTTTTCTGATCTCGGAAGAGAATTTCAGTTCTTGCCAAAAAAAAAAAAGGAACAGGATGCAGCCATAAAGACGTGAATTTAGAGAGAAGGATGAGTTAGGATTAAACAATCATATTGTGTAGTGGTGAAGAGTGGTGTGGTGCAGGACGAGTCAAAAAGAAATAATCATGTGTTAAAGTGACAGGAGATGAGCTGTGGCAGACAGGACAGAGCACAGCTGGAGACTGGAACTGAGTCTTTATTTCTCTCCACTTAAAGCAGGCAAACTGATGAGGAACACATTCCAATTAAAACAAGCAAGAGACCATGGAGTGCTCTTAAAATGATGTGTCACAAGGGGGCACACACTCACACACACACTCACACAATTCCAATTATTCCTGTGTTTGTGCATTTGTGTATGTGTCTGTATCGTCTGCTCACACTGTGTCGGTGAACTATTATTTTACTGTCGAGTGCTTTCTAATTACGATCAGGCTGGGATGTACTGAGCCAATGTTTTCTTTTTAGATTCATATATCTCTTTATGGAAAACAATAACTGAGGTTGAGTGGTACATAATAAACTGCTGATAGCAGCTTGATGCTGTGTTTTTGAGTAGATAGTGGAACTAGCCTTGATCCAAGCCCTGACGATGTTCACATACAGTACAATGTGCAGTTCCTGTTCACAGAGCAGTTTGCCTCCACTTTGACAGGCAGTGGAAAAAAGACAGAAGCAAAGGCAACTCAGTTCTATTATCTGTGGAGTGCTGTGAAGCTGTGAATAGCTGCATTCAGCAACTAGTTCAAAAATAGCGAATGCTCTGTGAGCAATCCACAGACATCGGCAAGAGATTTTCAAGTAGCTGTGATGTTTTGAACGGGCTATAGTAAGATTAAATCTGAAGAGAGGAGAGACTTCAGCAGCTTCCAGTGCAACACGATTATTCCAGCTGTTAGAATATCAAGTTTGGCTGCAGGACACAGTCTGCAGTTTTTGTCTAACCTTCATTTTTTGGTGTCAAATTCACTTCAGAGTTTAAAAAGTGTATACATTCTAGTAGGTGTGTAAAACAAATATTGAAACACTTAAGTATTGCAAGGTTATGATTTGTCATACTGTATCAACTCTCAAAAACACTGTATCAATTTTTAATTAATAATTTACATGCAAAGATTTGTGACAGGCAGTTTTCATTTTGTGTTGTGTTTAAAGCCTGTGTTGATGGCAGTGTTGTAATCTATCTTCAGCCACTTGACTCTTCCACTCCAATGTAAAGTGACACGGGTAAAGTGGCAGAAACTGTGACCTCCTTTAAATCTCTTCTTTAAACGTACTTCTCTTGTACAGTTGTTCCCCGTTTAACTTCATTTTATTGACAGCTTTTTATTTTTTGGTGTTATTGATTTTTACTGATAGCCCTCTTGCTGGTGGTCTATTTGCATTACTGAAAAACGAAATGAAAACTTTTATTTCTGATCTGCTTGTTTTGATTGTTGCCTTATATGACCTGCATCTTTTATTTTGCAATTATTATTATTATATTATTAACAAAATTAACCAAACTCAAATAGCCAGCTGGGCTTGGCTAACCACTCAGCTCTATCACCATCACAAACTAAGAGGAATCAGTTGCTTTTCTTACTGTGGTCACTTCCTGCTGGCTCCATAGTTACAATGCTTACTGTAGCTGATCCCACCCACTAGCTTAACTCAGCCCTGTCTCACCTTGTTGCAGGTACTCGATTGACCGTCGCACCGACATGGACCGCCTGTTCAACATCCATCCAGGGAATGGCTCCGTGTTTCTGCTCAAAGGCCTGGACAGAGAGGAGACGGCCTGGCATAACATTTCAGTCATTGCCACTGAGTTCAGTAAGTCCAGCAGTTGTTGATGTTGAGTACAAATGAATGAGTCTCTGGTGTATCACAGTGTATCAGTCACAATCACTTATCATGGACAAGTGGTTGCAGGACTGGCTGAGTGGGAAACAGAAAAGGATCTGTTCTCCTAAAATTACAAAAGCTCACATAGCCAAGTCGCGTGTTTCAGTCCAGGTTCTGAGAAATCCTCCGCCAAGATATTTGCTACTTCTCCAAGAAAATGGGAGGATTTAAATTACTAAATAAAATTACTATCAAATCAAGCAGGGACGCTGCTTAGGAAAAGAGTCTTTCTTGTTTTTTGCTTTCTAGTTTTACAAATGTCACTTTTCAGTGATGTGCGGAACAGAAACAAAATCTATACCGCTTATCCTTACACCCTGGACAGGTCACACACGCATTCACACCTTTAGAGTCACCAATTAACCTAATGTGCATGTCTTTGGACTGTGGGGGGAGGCTGGTGTACCCGGAGAGAACCCACACAGGCACAGGAGGAACATGCAAAGGGCCCGGGGTTCAAACCCGGAACCTTCTCACTGTGAGGTGACAGTGCTGACCACTGCACCGTGCCACCCAACAAAACAGCAATGTAACAAAGAAGAAAACAAATCTATTCATGGATCTGTTGAAACAGAAGAAGCCATGCTGTGCTGCTGAGCCCTGAATCATTGTTGCACACTGATGAATTTCTGGTAATCAGTGAGGAGGACATTTAAGCCTTTAATAATGAAATAAATACAAAATAATCATTCAAATGCAAGCCCTCAGAAATTGTTTTGCTCAGTTTTTTATTGTGTTAATATTTTGTTATGGTTTCATTAACATCAAATAACCTGAGCTTCCTCAAACAATCTGACTCAGGCACGAGTGTGAAATGAAGCCTGATTGGTTTCTTAGCCTGAACTGAGGCCTGCTGTGAAAATTACAGGGCTCTATGAACTAGCTGCTCGGACATGGGATCAAAAACATGGCCGGTTCTTATGATTTCTGTCTCATTTTGTTTTCTTTCATTTTTTTTGGTTTTTCATCTTCAATGTTTATGTGTGAGCTCAGAGGGTGACGAAAGCGTGAGAGCAGGGGGGGAAAGAAGGGAGAACTTCTTGACTTCTTGACAAGCTGCCCTTACGCAAGGCACTGAGCTGCTCAGCGGGAGCCATCAGCAGAACAGTTGAGGTTGCGCTGGATAGCTCACAGTGTTAATGTGTACGGGTCTGTGAGGGTGGAGCAGGGTGTGAAGGTTTCTCTCCTGTGTTTTGCCTGCAGATAATCCCCGTCAGAGCAGCCATGTTCCCGTCTATATTCGCCTGCTGGACATCAACGACAACGCTCCCACCTTCGCCACCATCTATGAAACCTTTGTCTGTGAGAGAACCAAGGCTGGTCAGGTACTACAGCTTCATCACTCCACACACACGGAAAGAAAACATACTGCATCAGTTTGATAGTAGCAGTGATTTTTTTTTTAAATCAATGTATGTCTTCGTTCTGAGTGAAACCAAAGTTGTTCAGGATTTACCAGCATCAGGATCGGTTGTCCTTTGACCAATCACAGCCTAGAGTTAGAGTTGTAGAGTACTGTGAATCTTTTGCTGGCTGAAAAGGTGGAAGCAGTTCATTTTTAAGGGGTGACCTCATTAAATCTCCACATTTTCCTCTTCTCCTGTGTTTTATCTGAAGTGTTGATCCATAAGAAGATATATTTGTGGTTTTAAAAACCAAAAAACCATCTCAGTGTAGTTTTACATCTCCTCTCTCAGGCTTCTCTCTGGAGATTTAGTAACCACAGGTCGGTGAGCCAATCAGAAGAGAGGAGGCTCTGAGCCTCTCTTCTGATTGACTGTTGACTCTTTTCTGAGTGATCCAATAAAACTATGTCAGATTTCAGCTAAAACAGTCAGAGAAACCAAATCATCCAGGTGGGCGGGGCTTGGTGACTGCTTTGTTGTGACATCACAAAGTCCCAGAAGTCCTGACGGCTGGTTTTAAGGCTCAGTTTCTGAATACAGGCTGTGTGCATTTCTCTGTGGACTGAGGCTTTGATACTTTCACAGTATTAAAATAGAACCTAGACCTGATCTATAATCAAACTACACATGGACAGAGACCTTTATATTAATTATATTCCTTTAAATTAATTCACATCCAGCTACAACCTGACACTGAGCTGAAGAGCAGAGGATGTGAAGTGTTGATTAGATATGTGTCTTACACATTAACATAACAGCTGGAGCCGACTAACTTTAGCACAGCTGTTTTCTCATGCAGTACTTTCTCCAAAAAAAACTGTGAAGTCGATAAGCTTATTAATTATTTATTAATTAATATTATGATATACACATAGGTTTAACAGGAAGAATCAGACTCCGAAAAAGTCAAAAAGCAAACAGCAAGGTGGTTTCACCAGAGAAAGGTCACCACTCTGTGGGTTTTGCTGAAGAGTCGTTCTTCTTTGTCTAACAAACGATCGTTGGTCAAGTGCAGGCACTGGCTTGCAGAGATCACATTAACCATGAAGTTAATCACAGAATTAACGTTAACTACTGACATCTGCTTTGACCTGCCACTAGTTCTGTCAGAGCTGATGCTGAGAATCTGAACTGAACATTTTGTATATTTCTCTTTGCAAATAAGAAAGGAAAAGGAGTAAAGGCAGAAGGTTCATTAAAGACTGTCTCTCCTTGTTGCATAGCAAATCCAGGTATTATACCTGGAACCGACCCAAAACAGAACAGACTATCAGAAGCTTCACTGTGTCCCGTGCTCTGTGTCTCTGCTTCTTGCGGCAAACAAAACAGTAATGACAGGAAATCAGTAATTTCATTACTCCCTGTTTTAAACACAGGTTATTTCCTCAGCAGTCACCTGATTAATGTTGCTGTGGCTGCTCAGGGTGTGGAGAAGCTGCTAATTACTGTTTCACCCAGCCAGCAGGGGCTCTCTGTGGGGAGACATGACAGGCAGGCCACAGAGAGGAACAGGGCAGCACCGCACTGTGAGGAAAAAACTATATAAGATTGAAATTAACATAACAATCACATACAAGAAACACCCACATCTACTTAGAGACACTAAAACAGCTTCTAGCTCTATAAACACTTTGCTGCTGTAAGTCTAGAGTGTTGGACAAACTGATTAGCAACACACTGTTTAAGCAGTGTTCCTGCTAGTTAATTAAACTTGTCCGTCATCATGTACATACAGTGGAATGACTTGGTTTTCTGCATTGATTGCTCATTAAATATGAGCTGATCATCTTCAGCATCACAGACACATGCAATGTGCTTAAGATAATAACAATGAGTCATTAAACCGTCACAGCTCTGGTGGAAACAGTCAGTGAAGCTTGGATTTAATAACTGGTTGAAGCTCCTCTGAAACCAGCTGTTCAGTAGCTGCTGATCAGAGCTGCTCAGCGTTCAGGAGTTTGGACCATTCTTCTTATAGAGCTGCTTCAGTCAGACAGATTCTCAGGATGTCTGGGCTGAGCGGCTCTCTGAGCTCAGTCCACAGCATCTCTACTGATCCAGTAGAGACCCAGGTCTGGGCTCTGACTGCATCACTCCAGAAAGTGGATTTTCTTTGATGTTGAGGGTCATTGTCCTGCTGCATCAGCAGCTTCTCCTCAGCTTCAGCAGGTGGACAGACACCCTGACACGATCCTGAAGACACCTTGATAAACTTGATGATGTGGAGCTGTCCAGGTCCAGAGGCAGCAGATCCAGATCATGATGCTCCCTCTATTTTGCTTTTCAGTTCATTAATTTAATCTGTCCACAAAACATCTTCCCAGTAGTGTTGTGAAGTGTGCTCCTCAGAAAACTTCAGGCACAAAGTGAGAGCAGCAGCTTCCATGTCCCATGATGTGTGTGAGGTAGAACGGAGAACAGAGATGTGAACCAGTTCCACTGATTCCTTTCAGCCTTCAGCTGTGACTCTGAGCTTCCTGGTTACTGAGCGTCTGCGTTGTGCTTTTGGAGTCGTCTCAGCTGGACGTCACTTCTAGGGAGAGTAGCCACAGACCTGAATCTCCATCTGTGGACAGTTTGTCTGACTGAGGACTGATGAAGATCTAATGACTCTGTGACCCTTTCAGCTTCATGCAAATCAACTCTTCTGGATTATAAATCCTCTGAGATCTCGTGGTTCACATCAGGTGATGTTTCTTGTGTCAAAGTCAAAGTGTCTCAAACCCAAACCTCTAATCTTGTGTCATTGACTGGACTCTTGATTCCAATTATTAGCCTCTGATCAAGTCATTAGTCGAGGGCTTTACAGACTGTTTCAGCTACACTGTGAATGTTTGAATGATGTTCTCAATATGGACAAAAACAACACAATTATTTGTACTTCATTTGTCACATGCCACATACAGGAAGCAAAGCATGGAATGAGGGTCAGACTTGGCAGCAGAGCAGACTGAACAAAACTGCATTTTTTTTTTTAGATATTATGAAAAATATTGCATATGGTGGGAAATATCACAACATTTGATATTGATATTTTTCAATGTCAATATCGGCCCAAGCGCACCTGCAACTAAGGTAGCTTCAATAAAAAGAATAATATGGATGAGCTGCTTACAACCCGACTGATTATGTTTGTTGACCTGTCAGAGTGTGATGTCGTTCGCCAATCTCAGCAACACCCGCACTGAATACAATGTTATTATCATAACTGATATAAATGATGCAGGGCCACGGTTCCCCAACACACTCACCACCACCTTAGAAAACAGAGACTGGCCTCTTAATTTTTACTGCACTTACTTACATTTTTCAAATTTGTTTTATTGCTTTATTTAGTGCTCAGTTTTACTTGTTATTTCAGAGCATGACTAAATTCAATTCAGTGCTTTTTTCACGAATAGCAAAATGAAATGTAAACATAATGAGTCTTTATATACTGGAATGTGTAGGTTTCCAAAATACTTTGCAAAGAAAAGTAAATAATTAATTGAAATAGAAATACACGACGTGAGCGATTGAGTTATGATTAACTGTCACATTAAGGAACTACAAATGTCTCTACAAATATAGCGCGTCCACACACACACACACACACACACACACACACACACACAGTGGTGAGCTGCTGTTTACTACTGATTCATAAAGGCTTTTTCTTCTGTAGCATTATTTCAGTGTAGAACAGTGAACTCGAGGGACCTCAAGTACAGAATGTGAGCCGGCTCTACAGCCCGCTCATAGCAGGTGGTCCTGTAGTTATTGTGCTGTGATGCTTTCATGAATCACTTATGGGACATGTCGAGTCCAAGAGGCTAAACTGAGCTTATAATCCCCTTTTATGAACAGAAAAACACAGCATCTGATGGAACCAGCCATTACTACTACACTGACTTGTTCTGGGTTGGATGAATATTGGCCAAAAAGCAAAAAAAAGGGCATCTCTGTAATCTGTTTGTGAACTTCACTATGAATCAGGAATGATTTCTTCTTCATGGTTTTGAGGGTTTATTAGATTTTTATTTCCTGTTTTTTTTTTTATGTTTGTTTTTTTTTTGTTTTTTTTTTGGATGACACAGCCAATTAACCCATTAAAGTTGACATAAGGTAGATCATTTTTAATTAGCTTCCCCTCCAGCTTCCTAATTGACTGACTCTACAGTCCAAGGACAAATGGCATTGACTTGGTTAGACCTCTGTAAAACTGAATATTTTAATCATCACATATCTGAATTTGAATGTTTTAAACAGCACCGAGTATAATTGTTCTCTGTTGTAAAACCACTAGATATGATTCAATGCATTACTCTATGGGATTCAACTAATGTGATTAAAGTGCACCAGCTTATACATGTGCACATACTACACACACACACACACACACACACACACACACACATACACAAATATATCATGCAACAATTAATAGGATAAAAACACAAATCTGTATGTGAGGTCTCACACACACACACAGCAGGTTAAACATAAGACAACAAAACACACTTAGGTGCAACTACACTGCTGATGCCACACACACTTGCTGCCAGTGATCTCCACACGTCCCTGTCATCCTGCCATCCTTTCATCCTTTAATTCCTCTGCCCTTTCATCTGTCCATCAGTGTTAATCATCAGTGTTTGTTGACTGGGTATCCTCCACTGCTTCCCTCAGGTTCCAGATCTGCTCAGTGTGTGTGTGTGTGTGTGTGTGTGTGTGCAGTGGTGTGTGTGTGCGGACGTGTGTGTCACTGGCACACATCTTTGTTAAAGCCTTTAATCTCTCAGCTAGTTTCTCCTATTCAATTGAATAAGACTGGAGTTAAACAGAGAAATAACATACACCGCCACCAGCTGAGAAATAACAGGAACATACAGCTGCAGCTCCAACAACTGTCACATTCACACAAGTCATTATGACTGCAGTTTAAACAGTTACAGGCTATTTACACAAAGCAACACCTTAGTAGTGTGACACCAGCATTCACCAGCCTTTGGTATAATGCCAAAAACAGCAGAATGAAACATAACTGGCTCTTTAGCAGCTAAATCCTCCACTATGTTCACAGCTCATCACTGACTTTGTCTGTGTGCTGTTTGCTGCTTGCTGCTGGGTGGAGGGTTAACAGCTGCTGCTGCTGCTGGAGACCAGGCTGATAAGAGAAACTGTATTTCCTCTAATGACCACTAGAGGCTCTAAAAGTGAGTCAGTCCCCACTCGGAGCTTCAAAACCGCTCTTCAGAAACCTGTGGGTGACGTCACAGAGGCTACGTCCATCTTTACTTATAGTCAATGGTTTGTCACTCCAAGTGATTCACTTCAAAATACAAGAAATGTGCAATAAATATTCAAATATACAAATGTTGATTAGTGCAGCTTTAACAACCAATTGTCAGTGAAACAGTCATTCATGATCATGTTTTAATAGTATGAAGGTTCAGTGCTTCCATGCTGCTGGTTGGTGTTGGCATACCCGCCCCTTTTTTACATTGCGGTCATGTGGGCTCTTGCGAGTGGGTACGTTTGGGCTACGTAACTATCATGTGTCTTATTATGCAACAGTGGATCAGTATTTGGGACAGTCCGTTTGTGCGGAATTAGATAAAGCCGAGGCAATGCAACATCGTGAGTTCGTGAATTTTAGCATCATCTGTTTAAGTTCAAGTATCCATTTGTATAAAGTAATTAGATTTCGTTAAATTATAGTCCCAATGTAAAATATAACACACTGCAATTTGGCTGCACTAACACTGTCTCCACTAATCACAACGGATCTTAAACAGTTTACATTGAAATCACAGCCTTACTGACCCAAAGTTCTCGTTCTTCCTCCAGTCTGCTCGAAATTCAACAGGTTGTCATTTGTGCTCTAACGCTGCCATCTAGTTGCACTTAGACAAACACACCACATTTAATAAATATGTCAATTATGATATTGAGGTTACATTTTTGTCAATAAGTAGTTGGAAAAAAATGCAGATATTAATAATGGCAATATATAGATGTCTATGTAGGGTTTCCTTGCAGAAAATTGAAATTGAAAATCGAAATGGTAGCACCCAGATTTAAACACCTTAACATGTTCAAAATTGACGTGTCGTCTTAAGACACGTCGTCAGCTTCTGTTAAAAGTCTCTCTCTGGAGTGTGATGCTCTCACCCTCTGCAGATGTGACAGCTAGCTGAAGAAAGTTTGTAGCATGCTCCTTCAGAACAGCAGCTGTGCTCAGCATGAATTTAGTCAGCTACAATGGAGACAAGTTTACACTGTGGGTGTATCAAAACCTCTCAAACCACTGCATTAGCATAATCCACCTCTCCACTGTCAGGGTGTTTAGTCACATTTTAAGGAAAAGGAAACACTAAATGATAGCAAAGAAATTAGAATGTCAAAAAGAAAATAGCACTGACACGGTTACGTAAGCATTTCAACTGATAACTGTGTAGAACAGCAAAGTGACAACTGCAATTAGAACTGTAATGAGAGAGGGGAGAGGAACTTGGTTAACAGAAGAAATACAAACGTCACATATAGTGAGTAAAGAGTCAAATATTTCGCTTCATTGAACTGGCTGTTGATGTGTATGATTTTAATATGGGTTGTGGTGTTGACAGAGATATTAACAACTTATTTGGCACAAACATATGATCGTGATAATATCCTGACAGCAGTGTGTACTGTCACTGTAGTGAAGCCAATCTTCTTCCTCTCATCCACTGCTCTTTGGACTCCACTGAGGTGTTGGTGTTAATGGGTCTCTGTATCTCTGACAGCGTATCCAGACGGTCAGCGCTGTTGATGCCGATGAGCCATCGTCAGGACACAAGTTCTATTTCAGCCTTGCTTCTGAGGGGACGCACCGCAGCAACTTCACCGTCCGAGACAACGGAGGTGGGTAGCACAGCACAGCACACACAGGCAGGTGCATTCACTTCATTATATAAACACCACGGAACAGACATTAAACAAAGGCATTTACTGAATGTGAACTGAACTGCTTCAACAGAGTGGAATAGCATTTTTAGCTTTTCCACTCATGTCAGCTGCATGTCACTGTTTACACTAGCTACCATCATCATCATTATCATTATCATCATCATCATCATCATCATCATCATCATCATCGTCATCATCGTCATCATGCAGAAAGCCTGGCAGCTCACGCATGAGCTAAAGCCACTTATTGTGTTTCTACAAATCTAGTGATTATGATTCAGATACTTGTGACTGTGTGGCGGCACAGTGGTACAGTGGTTAGCGCTGTCGCCTCACCGCAAGAAGGTTCCGGGTTCGAGTCCCAGCTCAAAAGCGGGGTCTTTCTGTGTGGAGTTTGCATGTTCTCCTCATGCTTGTGTGGGTTCTCTCCGGGTACTCCGGCTTCCTCCCACAGTCCAAAGACATGCAAATGGGGACTAGGCTGATTGAAGACTCTAAATTGACCATAGGTGAGACTGTGAGAGTGAATGGTTGTCTGTCTCTGTGTGCCCTGCGATGCCCTGTCCAGGGTGTACCCCGCCTCTCGCCCGAAAGGATGCTGGGATAGGCGGTAGAAAATGAATGAATGAATGAATACTTGTGACTGTCTCTAGTTTCATAGAGACATGAGAGTGATATCAATCCTCACAAGAACACAGACATGTGTTGAACTGTTCCTTTAAGCAGAAGATACAAAGTGAAAAATTTCTAAACAGAAAAATTATGATAACTATTTTAACTAATAAATAGTACTAAAACCTTGCAGTATAAATCTTATAACTGAGACAATTACAGCTTAAATGCTGCTGTTGCTCATCTTTGTCTTTCTGTGTGACTGCTGGCATGTGGAGTGTTTGGCGAGCTCATGTAGGCTGTTCCTAAAGAGGAAGTTAGCACTAAATGCACTTTTTTAATGAGTAAGTTATTTGTTGTAGCAGTCTCCATTCTGTGTGTCTGTCTGTATTAGGTCTGTGGACAGGGTGATGCTGTCTTTAAGAAAGGAGGGTGAATAACTCCACACTATTTTGAGCAGCACTGTTTTTTTTTCTTCTAAAAGACGCACGCACTCAAAACAAAGCAAAACAAATAAATTGTCCGTCACTATTTTCCTGCAATTTCTATAATGTACAGTTACTTTTGTTATCCTGTGAACTGATTCAGGCCATAACAACAGCACTTCGTTACCTTTTTGCAATTAAAACCTCGATCAAGACATAAAAACGGAAGTCAGAGTTTTTCACCACAGACACTGTATATCCAGGTGTTATATACAGTCTCTGGCAGTCATCCAGAATTCATAAAACCATTGTTACATACAGTAAATCATTATTTGTGATTTAAGATTTGAAAGTAGCTCTTGTCTAGAAACAGCGTTGTTTCTGTTTCTTTCTCTGGCTCAGATAACACTGCCGGCATCTTGACACGTCGAGCTAGCTACAGCCGCCTACACCAGAGCGTCTACCTGGTTCCCGTGGTGATCACTGACGGTGACTACCCCATGCAGAGCAGCACCGGGACCCTCACTGTGAGGGTGTGCACCTGCGACCGCGACGGCAACATCGAGCTGTGCAACACTGTGGCTCTGAGCAGCTCTCCTGGCCTCAGCACTGGAGCGCTCATTGCCATCCTCCTGTGTGCCATCATACTGCTGAGTGAGTATGGGAATGTGTGTGTTTGTGTGTGTCAGTGTCCACCACTGTGTTCAGCTCAACCAGTACAAGGTTGACACCAGTATTACAATGATTAGACTCAAATATGAATCAAAAAAATGTAGATTTAAAAAGAAAGAAAATAAGGGATTACATAGAATGTATAAAATCAAGTAAGAAATCAAGTAATTAAGTAAGAAACTTTTTCTTTCAAGTCAGTAACATATAACTTTTTTTTTTAAAATATCAACATATGCAGAACACATGAAAATACACTGCAAAATACAAATTCAGTACAAGTAGACGCCCAAGCCACTGAAACCTTAATAGGAATCCTATTAGGGACTTTAAGTGATGGCTATGGCCCCCGTATACATTCCAAGGTGTTGCCGTAGTAATGGAAATCAAAGATTGCTAGGCAACATTTAACTCTAACAACAGCTGTGAACATTGCTACAATATATCTCTTAAAATGACCCCAGAGCTCTTGATCTTTGCTTTAGAGACAATTTGTTTGAACACTTTTGGTAATAAAACATCTAAAAGCTAAAAGCTTATCAGATGGTGACCCTGGGACAAAATCTCATCAGAGGGGGGTTGTGATTTGTGTCAGTGTAAGGTGTCTGTTTCCTTGGTGTGAATACGTTTGAGAACCACTGCTCTAATCTAAACAGTTTGTCTCAACTGTTCATTTTTCTCCCACTGCTAAATCAATAGTTGTGCCATCCTGAGGCCTGTCATTGAAGGCATCCTCTCCAGATGTAAAGTTTCTGTCCCAGCATGCTTTGCAAGATGGTCGGTCCAAAACAGGTCAAGACAGAGTGTTGTGCAGATTAATCAAGACGTTATAAAGAGAGAAAAGAAATTAAAAAATGTAAAGATATTTTTTGCAGAAATATCCAATTGCAGAAAAACTATGACGACAGATAGTGAATTAAATGTGCGCACACAACATGAAGCCTGTGTGGTCACGCCTGCAGTGCTTCCATTTGTAAAGCGCCGTAAACACACACAGCCGTGGTACTTTCTCATTTGCTGTAATGGAAAACAATGTTGGCTCAGAGCTGCAGTCTGCTGCTGCTCATCAGAATCAAACCTCGTATGGAAATGAGTTCATCTCATCTGCCACCACATCCCCACTTATCCTCTTATTCATGCAGTGGTCACAGTCCAGTGGGCTGCTGGGAAAATGAATACATATTTATGCCCCTGAAGGTGCAGTCATTGCAGACTTAGTGGACACACACACACATACACACACACAGAAGTATGGAGACACACACACACGAGGTAGACAGTGCTGTAATGCATTGTCCACACTTACATGAGTGCAGAGATGAGAGCAGCCAGCCATCATACACACACACACACACCATACACATACACAGTAATAACTCATCTTTAACCCGGTTAAAGCAACACTCTGCTGTAGTTGTCATGCAAAAGCTTTAATCTGATTATTTTAGTCAGACTAATGTTACAGTCAGAATGAGCACACACTGTAGATTCACAACACTGGTTCAGTTTAATATGTAAAGCTGATGTCACAACTCAGCACAGTCTCATTACAACAGCAGAAGTGCCTCTGATCATTTCCATTGTGAACTGATGTTTTGTTCTGTTTTCTGTATGTAACATACAGAAAACACACAGTACAGTATGACACAGTACAACACAGTAAAATGATACTGTATAATACTGCACGCTACCAAACAACATGATACAACCAGAGACAGTTAGAAAGGAGACACTGCACTTACAATCATTTCCTGTAACTGTGTCAGATGGGTTTCTCCACCTCCCGCCCCTGTCTCTGTCTCAGCAACAAACTCTGAGATCTCACAACACAGACCTCTTCTCTGTCGGTTCTGGTTTCACTGCTGCAGTAGTTTAGAGCGACCAATATGTACAAGCGTGAATTAAAAGCTAAAACTGAAATAAAACTTGTGTTTCTTGTGCGTAATAATACTACTACTGTTATTGTTATTGAAGTGTTTTTGGAGGGAAAACAGAGAGTAGCAGACTGATATGATCTTCTTCCAGGTTCATCAATATAAATTAGCAGATAAAACCAAGCAGCAACATCTGGTGTAGATTCAAACTGTGTTGTATTGTTGTTATGTTTTGACATGAACACTCAATCATGACCACGCCTACTTAGGAAACAGGAAGCGTATACCATTTCTTACCATCGGTGCTGCTTGTAAAGTGTCATCTTTTGTCTGTATTTTGAGTACAGTGATATACGATACAACAACCGCAGCAGCAGAGGAGAGACAGGTTGACAAGTCGTTACATTAAGTACAATAGAAGTTTTCCAACAAGCATCATTAGTAGACAGAGTCAAAGGGACAAAATATCAGTGTTTCAGTCTGACAGGGGATGAAGATAGCTGTGCTGCTGTTACAGTGTCTGTTCATGTCTCTGTCTCTCTCTCCTCTGTACATTATGTACAGTAACCTCTTCTTTATCTATAGAAATATTTGTGTATCAACCTTTTCTTTAGTATCTGAAAGCTCTGATTCTCGTCACAGCTCATCCTGCCCATTCACAGACATCTCATGTTGTGATTTGCGGTGCTCCAGTTCCCCCGACCTTAGCTCCGCCTCCGCTCTTTCTTGTTTCCACTGTGCACTTGCTCGTACTTGAGTTAAATTCAAACTAGCCTGCATGAGCTTATCCAATCGAATGTTCTGCATGATTATTTATGGCTGAGGCCTCTCGGAAATCAAAGGCTTCTGTCCTTTTTGCCTGTAACCAGCCTGTGCAGCCTTTGTGTTTTTTCACTCTTTGGAATATAATGCTTCTACACCTTGTATAGAGTTATTGGTCTGTATGTAGCTGAGCTATGATGCACACCGTCTTTACATAATATTATACTATAGTTATTTCTATTACTGAGATGAAAAGATGGTTCAGGCTTATTAGAAAATGAAGCAGAGCTGATGAAGCCATCCAGGCAGCCAACTCCAGTCTGCTGCTCTGCTCCCATGGCAATATTCCTCTCAGTGCAGCATATATCCAACGCTCCCTTTTACTTTGTACTTAAGCTGTCCATTCTGTTCATGTAGCCTTTCAAAAGCCCACAGCATTCACCTGTAGGCTCCAAATCTTTGTTCCTCATGGGGAAAGTTATTATCGTCACTCCCCACTCCCTGATGCGCTCAGCGTGGTGCTACCTTGTGGGGAGTGATGATTCACATAATCACTTCATCCATTCGTCTATGAGTGGAAACACACAGTTACTTATTTGTGCATCCAGTTAAGAGGAGCCTGGCACACAGTCAGTATGTGAGAACAAGGTGGATGCACATCACTTTTTGGTTTAGATATTCTATCAGCTGCCTGCTTCATGCTGTGACTTCATCGTAGTGATGTCACCATGTTCCCAGACCTCAGTACATGTTGTCATAACCAATGAAAACCACGAGCGCATCACAGAGCAGTGAAGGAAGCCTGTATATCCCCATCAGTGCTGTTTCATGTGAAACTGTCTGTGTGCTATTGTCTCCTTTAGTGATCGTGGTTCTCTTCACGGCATTGAAACGCCAAAGGAAGCAGGAACCTCTCATCATCTCTAAGGAGGATGTCCGGGACAACGTGGTGAGCTACAATGATGAAGGCGGCGGTGAGGAGGACACCCAAGCTTTTGACATCGGAGCACTGCGACACCCGGATGCTGCCGCAGCCTTAGAGGAATCTGCCAAGCAGAGGCGTGACATCATCCCCACCGACACCCTGCTGTACCCACCACACCGCCGCCCCGCCCCTGCTGCCTCTGGCCTCATCATGCCACCGGTCAGCTTGGGATCACGGGATAACGGGGACGTACGCGAATTCATCAACCAGCGAGTTCTGGAGAACGACTGTAACCCGACAGCACCACCGTACGACTCGCTGGCCACCTACGCCTACGAGGGCGCTGGCTCGGTGGCTGAGTCTCTGAGCTCGTTGGGCTCGGCTTCGTCTGAGGCTGAGCAGGACTACCACTACCTGAGTGACTGGGGGCCCAGGTTCAGGAAACTAGCTGACCTGTACGGGGCCGAGGACAGTGACTTCTCCTAACAAAGAAACCACACACACACACACAAAAACACACACACACACACACACACACACACACACACACACACACACACACACACACACACACACACAGACACACACACACACAGATGCAGGGCCAGGCACAGCTACATCTCACTACAAACTCACTCTAAGAGATTGTAAACGTTGCTGAGAAGCTTTAAAACACATGAGAACTTAAACATAGACAAACACACACCCCACAACAAGAACCAACAGATGTGCTGGCAGATGTTAATTCCATTTAATGGGATATTCAAGAACGGCACCTGACCTTTGACCTGCCCTCACTGCACATGGATCCCTACATGGAGCTTAACAAGTCTTTTTCAAAAGCGGACAAAAGTCCTACATGTGTGTTTTGGGAGTGGTAATGTAACTCAACCAGCACAACGGTGGAGCCAAAGATCTTCAGTTTCACCAGTGTGAACCTTTTCAAAGACTCATTTCAGGCCTGAAGTTAAAAATCAAAGTTGGATGGTGTTTTGTATTAAGAATTGGACTTTCAGGTTTTGCTTTAATCTCTCCTGGGTCACCAAATAACCAGTATGCGGAGTGTTTCTTGTGGCTATAAATGTGCCATTCAAGGCGGACTGAATGGAGTGTTTGGAACCAGGTCAGTCAACAAAACCCAAACAAAAAAAAAAAAGTGTAGTTATTTCAGTTTTTTCTTTTTTTGACTAAGTGCCCTTCTGCTGCCCTTCCAGCTGAACTGAGGATGCCTGCAGGCTGGTTGAGACTGGAGGGGGCTAACGACTCTCACATGATTGCTTTTTGTCCTTTTGCTGTCTTGTACAAAATGACCATTCCAGAGGAGCAGTTCTGAAGGGTCCTTGCTGGAAAGTCGCCTTCTTCGGGACACAGAGTAAAACATAACTCGTTTGACTAAATGCACTGATTTCTTTATGTTTACGCGGGTTTTTGGATTTTTTTTTGTGCTGCACACAAAACGAAAATATGTGTTTCTAGATCATTTCTAGATTTTTAGCTTCTTGATTAAGTGTATATTGTGTCAGAACTGTGGTTGACTTGAATTATACTGGAAGTAAACTAAGTTCTATAAATCTTTAATTTCACTGGAACAAAATACAACTTCAGATATCACACACAGACAGCTGGTGAACAATGTCACAGTATTTTCATTGGGAATATGCTTTACATTTACATGAAGGACTTTCACGGTAGGGCTGTCACTTTTTATAACTGTCATAACTCATCAAGCCATTTATAAGACAAAGACTGTAGTTATGGTCAGATATTAAAGCTGCACTAATCATTACTTTTATTATAACAATGGATCAAATGACTACAAGTTATATGAAAGGGGTGACTTGAGGAACGACCCTGCAGAGAATTATCATTGAGTGTTTTAGTGTCTTTCAGCTCATGGTTTTGATTTTCAGACCACGACTGTCCTGTTCTGGTTCAGCTATTGAATCTCATCAGCCTCATTTCCAGCAGCAGCTGTTGTTAGTGAACAAGCTCAAACAAACTCAATGGACACGACCTGACCAGCATCAAGCAGCAGACTGACAAAATCAGGGATTAGCTGGTTGTGATGCACAGGTCAGGGTTTTTTAACAGCACCACCCACCCTGCAACCACCTGAACCTGACCCCACCCACAAACCACCAACTTTTAGCTGTCTCTCTTACCCTGTTCATACCTCTTTACACCTCTTCACACCTCTTCACACCTCTTCACACCTGCATTAACATCTGTCTCTGCATTGAGGACGCATTTGAGATCGGATCACTCAGACCACATTCAGAGGTGGTCTGGACCACATGTGTCCACATTCTTTTAGCTGTGTGAACATGAATGTGTCCCGGGCCACATCGAAGGATCAACTACTCTACTGAAGTCCTCTGTCTCAGTCTGATTAATCCAACACAGTTTATAATTAACCCAAAATATTTTACTATTTAAATAGATAAAACCAGATTTCATTGTAGGTAGAGCTGTGAGCAGAGCAATGACTCACTCAACCCCTCTGTGCCTCTCTCACTATCTCTCTCTCTCTCATGCTCTCTCACACACACACACACACACACACACACCCAAAAACACATAACAGACCTGTCTGTCTGATTGGCTGAAAGGAACAACACATACCTGTTTATTTGCATAGAAAGCAGGAAGTGAGATCTGATCACAAGTGATCACTGGAGACACATTTTAAATCCAGGTGTGAACTGACGTACACTGGTGATCGGATCACTGAAGACACATGTTAATGCTCTCTCTCTCTCTCTCTCTCTCTCTCTCTCTCTCTCTCTCTATCTCTCTCTCTCTCCCTCTCTCTCTTTCTCTCTCTTACACACACACACACACGTACATATACAAATCTTAATGGTGAACCTGAACAATGTATACTGTCTTATTTAGCTTTGCTCATGCATTATAAACTACAGTCTGGATGCAGAGAGATGTGTGTAGGTTGGTTTATACTGTAGTTCAGTGATGCAGATTGTTGACACCTTCTGATCTGTGTGTGTGTTTGTTTGAGAGAGAGTTTGTGATAGAATGGAGGAGAAGGTGGACTAATGTTTTTGTTTATTCGTAACTTAGTCGAAATTCTGCTTTGTCAATTTTTAACCCCACCTGCTGGAAGTTGTGTTGTTTCATAACCACACCTGCCATGCGGGTTCTTGGTCGACTCGTGCATCACTACTAGCTGGTGAACATATCAGAGTGTTCATCAGATGGACTTGAACATAACTCTAAATGTTAGTTTTGCTCCCTATCAGCTCAACATAAGCAACTGTTTGCTAACATATTAGCCACAACAACAATGACTAACTGATAATGTGTCAATGTTTGGTTAAAGCAGTAGTTAACATTTTGAGAAGTTGAGTTAGATCAGAAGATTGATGACACTCTTGTGTCGGTACTGTAAATGTGAAGCAGTCACTTAGCTTAGCTTAGCTTAGCTTAGCTTAGCATAATGACTGAAAAGGGGGAAACGGAAAACAGAAATAAATCCACCTCTAAAGCTTTCTAATGACACTTTCAATATGAAAAGCAAAGTGTAAAAACTCTATCGTGGCTAGATGCACTAACTTCCTTGAGTCTCTGCTTGTTGCCCTGACAACAGGTAAAATTAAAAGTAACTAGCAAGGCGTGCTAATCAGCAAATCATGACACCAAACCAACTGAGAAGTATTATGCAGAAGCATTTTGGATTCAACTGCACAGATGGAGAAACACAAGATAAACATGAGGCTGTTGATGCAACAGAACAGTAACATTACCATGACAACAAACCCAGAGTCACCTTGTTAGTTACCTGTCAATCAAGAGACATGAACCCTGTCAGTTTAACCTCATAACACTAAGATCAGGATATGTGGGTTACCTTCAGGTGAATAAATGAATGCAGCAGACAAATGAATACATGACCTTTCCTTATCGGATCAAAGTTGATTTTTTGAAAAAGTGACAGACCTACTTCATAGCCAGCATTTCAGCTTGAATGTCTTTCAGTGACTGGTAACATCATTTTTTGTTTCCTCCTATTTACTCGAAAAGGAAAGAGGAGGAAAAAGAAACTACTGTCCTTATGTATGTATTTGCGTATTTTATTCAGCCCACCCTGTGTCTCATTCAGAGACGTGAGGTTTGATAAATGTTGTAATTCAGCAGCACTGGGAGGCAGTGTATTTACCATCTGCTTTGATGTCACACTCAGTACTGAAGCAAAAAGTCAAAATCACAACAGTCAACCTCAGTGCCATGTTAAAAAAAAAACATTACTTTGAGGAATTAATCTCTGAAGTCAGGGTTCATATATGTGATTAGGACTTTTGTTATCCTGACTTGATAGCAGGCATTTGTATTGTATTTCCAATAAGAGCAGCAGTTTGTTCCAGTTGTGTTTCGTGACTGTGGTCTGCTCCGAAGGCTTCAAACAAACAATGTCCACATATTTTTCTTTATATTGTAATTCATTCTTTTTTGTACCAAATATTTATAGGACACAATGATGACATTGCTGGAGGAAAAAGAAATCAAGATAACCTCCAGCTTCACTGTTTTTTAAATGTAATTTTGGAGGTGTGAAACTTGCTGTAGGCAGTCTGTATATACTGATGTATTATCAAGTTGTTTAATTTTGTCAAAATAAACTTTTACAGAAATGTTGTTTACAGTTTGATGACTAACAGCCAGAGGAAACCGTTTTCATCCTCGTTAGATCTGTCTCTTATTCTAACCTTGCTCATTAAAAGTGCCTGTTGTTGACAATGAATCTCCACTGACAGAAAATATCCCTTTGTGTTCATACTCCACTTATTTCTTCCACATCATGCTTGTTCAGAACTTCAGTAAAAATATTTCCAATTACAGCATCAAAGCAAAGTGGGGACGAACATGTAACAGTTACTGAAACTCTGTTACGAGCTGTTACGATGAGGATTTACTGGTGTGTGTGTGTGTGTGTGTGTGTGTGGGGGGGGCATATATTGGCAGAAAATCTCTTCTTATGAACAAATGAACAATCACTGTCTGCAAACATTGCGTCCCTGTTGATTACTCTTTCACAACATCAGGATAATTTGCCTCTTCCTCACCAGGCAGCCCAAGTGCCGCCCAGATCCAGCTGCCGCCTGGACCTTGCTGGACCCCCGGGTCTGCCATCAGAGCTCTGCAGTTAATTCAGAAAGCCTGGTAGTCAATCTTCACAAGATTTCCAACACCATACCTCTTCTCCTTTTACTACACTAGCTCCCTGTTGTTGCTCGCATCCAAACCAGGTCAAACCTGACTACCACGGTCCTCTGCCTCTTTAAGTTGAGCCGCTCCATCACAGGACCTTGTGGTCACTCATCTCTGTCAAGAGCAAGCTTAACAAGCTTAAAACCCTCCTTCTCAGACAACATCTCAACAACTTTTAAAGCTCCATATTTTCTTCTTTTTCTGTGTTTAATTTGAAGTGTTGATCCATAAGAAGATATATTTGTGGTTTTAAGAACCAAAAA